ATAATGTCTGATGTTACAACTAGTCATGGTCCCTTTAACAGAAACATGTGTTCAGCTCATGTGCTGATTGCCCAAWCACTTCTTCTCTCGTGTTCTGAACATTTGTACCACAGAAATGCAGAAAATCCAATCCGTTTTATAGTTTATTTACAAGTAAACACAAAAGGCTTGTTTTTGTAAAAAATGAAGGGTTGTTACCTTACTACAAGCTAGATGCAGAGCTGTGTTCTTGCTTGTGTCCTGCAGAGACAGGTCGGCTTTACCGCTGCTAACGAGCACCTCTGGAAAAAAGTGCAGAAAATTACGTGAAAGGAATCGTTTCAGTCCATCTTTCATGTGTGAAAGTACACTCACCCACAGCGTTTGTCTGCCCATTCAGAGCTGCCATCATCAGCGGCGTCATGTGTGTTTGAGYGTCGACAACGTTCGCCTGAGCTCCGTGGCTCAGAAGAAGGGAAACACACTCCACGTGGTCAGAAAAGGCTGCGGCGTGAAGCGGGGTCCTGCAACAACAAACACTTTGACATAAACTGGCTCACGTGGAAAAGCTTTTAGGAGTAACACCTGCCACCTCCCACCTTCCTTTGGAGTCAGCGGTGTTGACGATACTTTCACCCAGACAGTCAATTAACATCTCGGCCACGCCCTCGTTATCGTTCATGCTGCAACACAAAAACCGTCACATAGACGCCCATCCAGCCGTAAATCCTCATTCAYGAGTACAAACAGCTGATGTCTTACACAGCGCAGTGCAGAGGACTGAACGAGTTGCCTTTTATGCTCCTGAACACTTTGTGATCCAACAACACCTCCACGCACGCATCGTAACCTAAAAGAGCAGACGTTCACAGCSTTTAGTTTCTGCTACATATGGARCAAAAATACGTTTATGTGGAGGTTGTTTTCCAGTACCGTTGTAGCAGGCCCAGTGCAGCGGCGTGTAGCCCTGGTTGTCTGTGAGGTGGGTGTGAGTGAGAGGTGAGCTGGCGTTTTGCAGGAGGGTGCCCAAAACACCCACATGACCACAGGCTGATGCCAGGTGCAGCGGGGTGCGACCTCGGATGTCCTTTACACACACGCTGACCCCTCGCTGGAGTAAAGCCTCCGCACACTCCTCCTGTCCTACCACAGCCTGTGTGACACATGGAGGATTACTAAACAGGATGATACTGACTTTACAACACAACTGTATCATTAATATATGGGTGARGTGTAAATATCTGCCTGTTCTCTTCTTTCAGGTGCGAATTTAGCAAACTGCTTGTATGAAAGTCTTAGTAAAAATATCTTTCAAGTCATCAAATGTGTGACCCATCATATCAAAATGAAGATTAGGTCAAATTTGGTCAAAATTATCTAATTATATTTTCAGATTCCTGGCGTTAAAAGCTACATTTTGTTACCTAGATCATTCTGATATAAAGGGAACCAGAGATATGCCTTAATTTGTTTTATTGGTTACGATAATACATTAATATTTGGTCTGAATCCTAACTTTATGTCATTTTAATGACAATTTTTTTATTTCACTATGAAGAGAAAATCTCAAATAGTATTTGAATATTGTCATTTCCCAGCTGGAAATAAACAAAAACATTGCTAGCTTAC